CGTATTTCAAGATTGTGCCAGGAGGTAGGATAAACCAAATGGGATTGAACATTGAACATGAATTCTAGCATGTCAGGTCTTGTATGAAGTCGTTGATGAGGGCCAAGGATTGATTATTATGATTGATGGGGATTGTTGCATTCTTTAATTTATTAATTCATTCACTAAATATTTATGGAGAACTTACTTCGTGCAAAGCATGAAGGGAAAGAGGTGAAAGACATTATCTGCCCCTAAGTGGATGAGAAGGGCAAACATTTGCTTTAGAATATAGCAGGTACCAAGGAGGAGGTTGGACAGGTCACTCTGGGAGCTCAGAGGAGCACATCTAAGCCAGCCTTGAGAGAGAAGTGGCTATGAGGGTAGACTTCCTGGAGGAAGTGATGCCTGGGCTGGGTCTTAAAGGGTAAGTAAAAGTTGGTCAGGTAGGAAAGCAGGGAATGGCGTCCTGGGCAAAAGCACAGAGGAATGATTCAGTGCAGTGAGTTTCTGGAAGTGTAAGCAATTTATTTTATAGACTGTTTGTAGGGGAGTGATGTGAGCTGAAGCTGAATGGAAAAACAGGTGTCAGATGAAGAAGGGCCTTGCATGTCATGCTAAGGTATTTACCTCAAAGGTAGGGGGAAGCCACTGAACAGTTTTAAGTAGAAGAGAGGGGTGACTGGATCTGAATTTTAGAAGCTCTTTCTGGTAGTGATGGGGAGGGTGGCTGGGCAGCCGGTAGAGCAGGGAGCCCGGCTTTTAGTGCTGACCCCGTTGCCTCCCACCTATCTTTACTGTCCCTTTCTCTCTATGAAATCTGTTATCTAGCTCCTCCCTGCCTTATTCAATGGGATCTCCTGCCACTGCCCAATTTTAGTCAGATTGGCTCAACTTGTCCAAACATGCCATGCTCATTCCCATCTCTGAGTCTTGTTCATGCAACAAACATTTAGTGAGTGCCTACTGTGTACCACCCACCGTGCCTGGCATGGAGAACCAAAGATGAATGAGACATGGAACTCACCTTTAAGGAGTGCACAGACCAGTATGGAGATACCCATGGCAGCACATTGTTACTGTGAGCATGAGAATGGCTGCGGTATGGAAGAAACAGAGAGAACCGTGGGCAAAAGGAGAGAGTCCTGACTGTGAGAAGACCTCCTCCTTCTCTGCTAAATCCTGCCCCTCCTCAGGCTTCTGCCTTCACTCTGTTTAGATTCAGGGTCGTGTCTCTCTACATGATAAACCAGTCGCACCTCTCTTCTACTTAAACTGTTTTGTGGCCTCCCACTACTTTGGAGTAAAACACCTCAGCGTGGCATGCAAGGCCCTTCTTCATCTGACAGGGTAGTGCAGTGGTTTGGAGTTCAGGCTCTGAAGCCAGGCAACAAAATTTTAATCTTGGTTCTACCATTTATGAAACATGTGACCTTGGCCAGAAATTCTCTGTGCCTCAGTTTCTTCATCTGTAAAATGGGGTTGATGGCTATATTAACTTCATAGGATTATTGTGAAGATTAAATGAGTTAATATGCATATAAACCTTTAGAAGGTTCTTGGTGTGTGAAAAATATTCAATCATTATTGGCTATTTTTCTCAGTTTTTACTCATTTTCTTCTCAGCACCTATCTCGTGTTGAGAAACTTTAACCCCTAGTTATCTATTATTGTGTTGCTTGCCCCATTTTCTGTGTTGTCATGTTATTTCTCTCAGGGATGACTCTATTCTCCTTTGAGGCAGCATACATTGTATATGTGTCTGTACTCCTGAGACACCCACAGTGATAGGTATATGTTAGGGTGACCAGCCATCCCAGTCTGCCTAGGATGACAGGCTTGCCAGGATGACAGGCTTGCCAGGACATGGGACTTTCTGTTTTAAAACCAGAGAAGTCCTGGGCATACCAGGACAACTTATCCACCTTACATCTGGTAGTCACTTTGATACTGAATTCGGTTCATTTTGCCCATTGCACAGTGATGCCAATCACCGAGATGATGAGTTTGCAAAGAGAAAGGGTTTAATCACAGAGCAGCCAAGCGAGGAGGCAGGAGAACCAATCTCAAATCCACCTCCCGGAGAAATGGGGATCAGGGATGTTTCTGGGATAAAGGTGTGGGGTGGTCTGAAGTGGGAATAGATGATTGGCGGTAAGGAGAAGGGAGGTAATTTATGATCTGCACAAGCGTAGTCAAGCTTCATGGCTTTTTCTAGGATGCATGTTCACAAAATGGTGGCTTTACTATGATCTGAGGGTGGAGTTTTCAGCTCCTTGACCTCAAAGGGTCACCTATGGGTCATCTAGCACAGGCCCAGTTGATGAGTCGGTGGTCTTAACCAGCCTTAACTGGCCAGGGAGTCAACTCTCAGTTCCTGAAAAACTCAAGCACCTGTTACCATGGTGACCCAGGCCGTCAGAGATGTTATCTGTAGGGTGGGTTTTAGTAATGCATCATCTAACCACTTTCACAAATAGACAACTGAGTATAGTTAACTGAGTATAGTTAAAGCAAGTTGAGCCCCGGTTTCAACTTCAGTTTTGCTTTTTATTTATCTCTTTTTAAAAATTTTTTTAAGATTTTTTATTTTTCCTTTTTCTCCCCAAAGCCCCCTGGTACATAGTTGTGTATTTTTAGTTATGGGTCCTTCTAGTTGTGGCATGTGGGACGCCACTTCAGCATGGCTTGATGAGCAGTACCATGTCCATACCCAGGATTCAAACCAGCGAAACCCTGGGCCGCTGAAGCCAAGCACGCGAACATAACCACTCGGCCACGGGGCCGGCCCCTTATTTATCTCTTATTGCTTCCAAATTTAACTTGAAAGCAAGCTTGCTTTGGCTTTGACACAAATTTTTATTTATTGGCTAGAAAATACAAAATCACAGCCTCTGGCTTTCTTTGGGGTTCCTTGAGATTCCCTAACGTTTTAAGCGGAAAATTTGAGGGATTCCTGAAAAAAAAAAACCTCTCCCGTCAGCTCTGGGTATATTTTCTAGAAATTAAGGACAACTGCATAAGAGCCTTCCTCAACCTGACCCACAGCCCCAGAGGTTTCCTCCTGTGGGTCATTTCCCACCTCTGCGGGTGTTTCCATCATGACTCTGAGTACTTGCTTCATTTGCTTTCCAGAATTGAGGCACCTTTATTTAACTAAGTGGCAGAGCCTCTTTCCTCACACAGGGATCATCTGGTTTGGTGTGAATTCCCCAGGTGGGGCCAAAGGATTTTTCTTCCTTTTCCGCCTCAGCCCCACCCCCACCTCACCTGCTGTAGGATGGCATTTACCTTGGGCAGTTGCTGTTCAGACAGTGTAGGATCCATAGCCTCTCTTGGTATTCCTTAAAGCTGTGACACATTTGCTGAAGGCTTGCTCATCTGCAGTACAATCAAGAGGCTGGGTCAACAGCCTCTGAAAAGCTCCACCCCTGTGTATTAGTTTGCTAGGGCTGCTGTAACAAGGGATCACAAATTGGGTGCTTAAACAAAAGAAATGTATTGTCTCACAGTTCTAGAGGCTAGAAGTCCAAGATCAAGGTGTCAGCAGGGTTGGTTCCTTCTGAGGGATATGAGGGAGAATTGTTCCATGCCTGTCTCGTAACTTGTGGTGGTTTGCTGGCGATCTTTGGCATTCCTCGGCTTGTAGATACATCCCCGGATCTCTGCCTTCCCCTTCGCACAGTGTTCTCTCTTGGTGTGTGTCTGTCTCTTTAATGGGGTTCTTTTTGTAAGGACACTTTAGGGCCCCACCCTACTTTGCTATGACTTGATCTTAACTAATTACATCTGCAGTGACTGTGTTTCGAGGTCTCATTATTAGGTCCTGGGGGTTAGGACTTCAACATATGAATTTAGTGGGGGGACACAACGCAATCTTTAACACCTCCATCTTCAGATGAGTCCCAAAACCTCCATGGAGACTGGAGGCCACTTCTCTGTGGGCAAAGTAAAGCAACACACCGTCCTTGCTCCCTAATCCTTTTCAATTCTCCACTCACTTTGCGTGTGACCCTGACTGTTTCTGCTGCCAGATTCACATCGTCACCAGCAACTACTTGTTCATCACTCTATAGGGCATTGTGCAACTAGAGGGATATTCAGAAATATACTGTATACCTGGGTCACCAGCTCTAAATCAAGGTATACCAAGAGATCTTTTTTAAGGGAAACCTGCTCAGGAAAAGTCATATCCGTGGCATAGGTGTAATAACTATTATAAAGGCAGTGGCTTGCATCCTGACAAATAATAATTACAAGTTGGTTGCCTTTTAAAATGATCTGGAGAATACCATGGTGTGTACAGACGTGGAGGAGTATGTGTGGGAGCGAGTGTGTGTGGGTGAAAGTGGTATGCATGCAGCAGCTTATGATAAACAAAATCAGGCTCCTCCCCAACCTTCCTGCAAGCAGTAAGCCTTCCCTGGGCACAGGGAATGGTCTGCATCTCCTCAGCCTGTGCCTGCTTCCTTCTGTCAGCTCCCTGAGTTGCTGACCCCTTCCCCTCCAAAGAGATAGCACTGTTCCAAAAGATAAACACCAGTAGTTACAAGGAACTTGGGGGAAAAGTTGAGCAAGTCTCCCAGTTATTGTCTCCCTGGCGTTCTCACATAGAAACCCAGAGATCTTTGTGGATGAGGTATTTCCGACTCTGGCAGTTAACTGCCTGAGATGTGGGGGCAATGATGGATCTTTGCGGTGGGAGGGGAGCGGATGGGGAATGAGGATTCTCGCTTGTCTCCTCGCTTCTTTCCAGGGACGCCCCACCTCTGAGAAATCCCAGGGACGGAGGAGGCACCTAGCTAGTGCCCGCTGGTGCTGAGCTGCCAAGCAGGCTGCTAGCTTGCTGAGAGGCGGCGGGTGAGCTCGGCGCTCCGCTCCTCGGTGCCAGATCAGGGAGCTGTCGGCTCAGCGCCCACGCCCTGTGCTCCAGCTTTGGGCAGCCCCGGGTGGGCTGGGGGAAGGCGCGAAGCTCGGTCCGTGACTGCAGGTTGACTTTCCCTCCCTGTTGTTGCCGGCAGAACACATACACCAATGCTGACAAGCTCCTAGAAGCAGCGGAGCAGCTGGCCCAGACGGGGGAATGTGACCCCGAGGAGATCTACAAGGCAGCTCGACACCTGGAGGTGCGCATCCAAGACTTTGTGCGCAGGGTGGAGCAGCGGAAGCTTCTCCTGGACATGTCTGTCTCCTTCCACACGCACACCAAAGAGGTAAGCGGAGCTGGTGGAGACAGGGCATTGTCTGGGTTGATATGTTCTGGCCAGGGGCAGGTCCATTTCCTGGTAAGATGGTCCCCAAGGTATGCCCAGTATCTTGGGGGTCTTAGGATTGCTAGCTTCCTGATGGTGATGATATTAACAATTTGCTCCTGATAACCTGTATTTAGGTCTCAACCAAAATGCGGCAAAATTTCCTCCTCGTCCCTAGTGAGGAGGGGGTGGCAGAAGCAGGTGGCCTGGGGAGTCTGCTAGAGTGTTCAGTCTGCAGCTGGAGAAATTAGGGAATCCCTGGTATAGAAACTCACTGCGGGAGGAAACAGAAAACAGCAGAGACTCCCTCCCATCTCATCCCTAATTTCTCTTGGTTGCTGTTTCCTGTCAAAAATCAGAGTCCTGCAGAACTTGATCATCTTTGCTACCAGCAAGGAACATACAGAGTTTGCAAATGTTTCGTATGTTTATTTATTTTTTTAAAACAAGGGATTCAATCTTTTTAATGAGGTCAGCCGCAGGGGCATGTTAAAGTGAATTGGTCCTCACCTTGCCTGATCGTGGAGTGGCGGCCAGCGAAGGAAGGGGGACCGAGGTGCCCTCCACACAGGAGGAGGCCAGCTGGGCTTAAACCTGGCCCTGAATCATTCTCGAAGTGGAGACAGGAGAGGGGAGGTTGGATTACGTTCTGTTGTTGGCAAGGCAGAGGGGCCCTTAGAGAGGAGGAGGGTTGCAAACCGGTGATTGCCTTTCCTTTCTGATTACCCTGGGCACTCTGAAATGGAGTAAGTGGCCAGTGAGGAGGCACACTTAGCGTCTTCTATAATACCACCCTTGGCAGATGGACTCATTAGGTGTATGCATGCTTCTGTTCCCCCAGGAATTCATTTTAATGGAGTATTAATTAAGGTTTAATTGCTGCTCAGGAAAAGAAAAATTAACCCTACTTAATTAAGTTGATTTTTTGATATTTGAAATGCGTTAAGAAGCCTGGTTGTTACTACTTCACAGGCTTTTCTGACGCTTTGTGAGAATGAATGCGAAGCAGTGCAGCGCCTATCAGAGACAAACCTGAAAAGATGATGTTTTCTAAACTGAGATTCCCCAGGCAGTTGAAGGGCTGGGGAGCTAGCCCCCTGACGCTGGCTCTGCTTTCTCTCCGTGGGACCCACAACCACTCTCTGATGAGTCTCTGTAAATCGAGGGGATTAGCTTTAATCCAGGTTTTCCTGCCTGGTTGTCTGCTTGCTTGTGGCTCACCCACTTCTTAATAATGGCCTCGAAAACCAAAGGCATGTGTATTCTCTTTTAATTATGATCCTGTGGGTGATGGAATGGAGTGTGAATAAATGGGAGTCATGTTCCTTGTGAGGGCTGTGGGGGTGCTGGCTCCCCAAGGAGTTGGTGGACACGGTCAGTTTCCATGGAAATGCCACTCCTGAAAGGGCGACCATGGCTTCCAGGAAGCCTTTCTAGCCAAATCTCCCACCTTCTCGACATGGAGCTAAAAGGCTGGGATTCTAGTCCAGATTCTGCTGCTACAGAACCATGTGAACTTGTGCAAATCACTATGTCCCTGGCCCTGGGCTCCCTCATCTATAAAATTATGCAGTTGGACTCAGTGGCTATAAGGCCTCTTATGGTTTTCATGTGAGTCCAAGATTCCTTTCTTTTTCTTCTCGTCTTCTTCTTTATTTGATATTGATAATAATAATAATTAATAATAATAGTAACTAAGCCTGGAGTAGTCCAGGTGATTTTTCTAGCCTAAGATTTAGTTCATGGTAAGCACTCAAAGTATATTAGGTAGTATTTTTTAAAATTTGGGTACCTACTACTTGCCAGACACGTATATCATCCTCATGTTAGTCTTATGATATAGATTTTATTAAACATATTTTCATGTGGGAAAACTAAGGCTCAGAAGGATCTCCGTCTGAGGTTACAGAGCTTCTCAGTAGCACAGCAGAGATGTTACCTGTGCTCCTCTCGAGTGCCCTGGGGCTCTTAACCACCAGCCCCGCTCACTGTCTTCCTTTTTTCCTCTTGAGTCTCCTCTGCTCTTCTTCCTTCTCCTTACTCTTCTGTTTCCCCTTTACGTTTTCAAACCCAAACACAGGGACTTGATGGGCAGGGCAGATCTTAGCTGAGAAGTGTAAAGTGTTACCAGGGTTGAGGGTGTGGGAGATGGGAATAGTCATTGTTAACCATGGTTTTCCCAGATTTCTCTCCAACCTTCTAAGCTTGGTCCTATTTGAACCTGAGACTTGCTCTCCCACTCAGACTCAGCTTATAGAAGCACATTCATGTGAAATAGTACTAAAGAGAGCAACTTGATACTAAGGCAGGGGAAGAAAGAGAGGGAACTATGATGTATTTAGCTTCTGCCATGTGCTAGACTATCTATCTATCTGTCTAATCACTAGCCACGAGAACTGTCATTTTTTATTCCAATTTTGCAGATCAGAGAAATTAATAATTTGCCCAGAGTCTTAGAGCTAGGATGTGGTAAATGTAGGAATTGATCTCAAGTCCTTCTGACTCCAAAGCCCATGCTTCTTCTTCTTTGCCATGTAGACTTGCATATAAAGGCCAGGAAATAGAGGCTGGCAGGAGTTTTCTCCAACAGGGAATTTGTTCAAGCAAGCGGCTGTCAGGAAGTAGCATAGTCTCATTCCCTGGATCCCAAAATATGAGAGAAATTAGGAGCAGTCCTGCCTGGATGCAAAGGGGTGTGTGACTGTGAGGATCTTTTGATTCAAGAGATGTACAGCTCTCAGATTCTGACTTTTTGTCAGGATGGAAAGAAAAGCATCATTTTGAGTGGCTGTCATGGAGGAGCTGTTCTTGGGGCCATCCAGCTGGACTTGCTATCTGCATGTTCCCTTTCAGTCACCTTCCCACTCCCCAACTAGTCTGTCCGAGGCCCCCTTTAAGCAGGGTAGAGAATAAGACATATGTGTATGTTTGTACACAACTATGTATTGTGTATGCATATACATATATTTGCATGTGTATCTGTGCACACATACACATATGTGTGTTACACACACACATTAAGTACAGCGAGATCTTAGATGCCAGGGAGGTCTGATTTCCAGATCTAGATCTTCATTGGGTATGCTGTGTACCTTTGGGAAAATTACTTAATGTCTGTTACTTGGTGATAATGATGATGATGATGATTACAAAATCGAGTAGTAGAATGCTCACCTATTTTTTTTCTTGACAATGGGAGGCTAGTCATTTCTCCTAAAAAAGAAAAGAAGGCAAAGCCCATTCTATCACATTTTTGACCTACTCTAGTTCTCTGACTTGAACTCTACAGGTAATATAAGTAAAGACAGGCGGGGTGGGGAATCTGAACTGCCCATGGGAGCTTTCCTCACCTGTATAGCAGGCAGAAGTGGATTATTAGGTAGGCAGAAGTGAGCATCCTTGGATGATCTAATGAAGAAGGACCTCCTGTGGTTTGATCTTTCTGTATTCTATTTAATACCTCTCAAGGTCAATTAACTCTTGACTCCTTCATCTTGACTCTATAGTCCAACTTCTGGCTTTTTTACTCCAGGCAAGATTAGTGGCCAAGTCTACTAGTGTGCAAGTCTGTTAGGGAATTTTGAGTTGGTATGGTTGTTTTTCCCTCTTATGGTAAATAGAATGAATGGAAGGATGATCTTCTGCTCAGTTTTGTTAAAATGGCCTTGGGTGGTATTGAGTTGGCTGATAAATATTGTCATAGATCCTTCCTGCCTAGTTATGGTTGCCTCCTTCCTTCCTTCTTTCTCCCTTTTTCTTTCTTTTTTCCTACCTACCTACAATCATTTGCTGAATTTTTGCATTAGTGCCAGTGCATAATAGAAAGTCATTATAGGATGTAATTTTGAAGGAATTAAAGCCTCCTTTATAGGAGATTTCTGAGCAGGAACTAAATATCTATCTTCATAAATTATTTAACCTAGACTTCCTATGACTCCCCAGGCTAAAGTTCATAATTTTACTTTTCCCACTTCCTACATCAAAAGATTTACTCTAATTAGGATCATAGAGGAAACAGAAGGAAGATACAAAAAACATATCCTCCAGGCTCATTTCTCCTGCAGACTGAAGAGTCTGCTTAATTCTATTGGCCCTGCTTTGTGAATTCTTGGCTACCATAGGAGTCTGGAGGGTTAAACTTTCTAACCATTTCATTGCAGTTTTATTCATAATCTTGAATAATTAGGAACCATCTAAATATCCCCTGTTGGGTAATTCACTAAACAAATCATAGTTCAACTTTATAGTGAAATATTATGCAGTCATTACAAATCACCTTGTCAAAGATCATTAATGGCGTGAGAAAGGACTTGTGATATAATATGTAAAAAACTGTATGTCCAGCATGACCACAATTTCAATCACACACAAAATAAAGCCTAGAAAGAAATATACAAAGAAGTTAAGAATGTTATGGGTGATTTAATTTTCCTTTGCATATTTTTTTGTTTTGTAAGTTTTCTTCAATGATATTTTTCAGTTGAACAGGGATGTTATTTTACAAAAAAAAAATCCTTTTTTATCCCTACTTACAAGAGGTACACAATACAAAGAGGTGACAAACATGTCCTTGGGACCTTCTTATGCATCCAGAGCCTCAGCTATGAGTACAAATTATGCTGAACTTTCAAATATCTTCTTTTTGCCTGGGTACAAGAGGGCAGCTGGCTGTTTTCTGGTCTAGAGAGCTAGGGAGCATATAGGAAGAAGCATTTACCCAAGTTTTCATTTTCTTTGTCCAGCGAAAAGTCGTTTGTAGCAAGTGTCATCTGCTCTGCAGAGATTGTCCAGACAGGCTTTTCTTTCCTTGCTGTGTTTCCATGGAAATGCTGCAATTGCTGGGCTTTCAAAATATCCATTTTTAGATACTTTTGTAGTAATAACATGAGAGTCAAATGAACTAAGGAGTGTGGCCAAAATAATCAACCTCAGCTCTTTATTAGACAGCTTAATTAAATGCC